GAAGTGTGTTAGGGTTAGGGTTAGGGCTAGGGTTAGGGTTTTTGCATCATTCCTTGCTATACGGAAATTCTGTGCATCAGTTGATGATACACAGAAATCTGTGCATCACTTCGTGATACCTAAGGTGCCTAAAGTGGATTTGCACCGAATTTTAGTGCATAGGAATCACAAACTAATGAACCAACAACTGTAGGGACGTAGTTTGTATGTTATAATTTAAAGTATAAATAATCAAGAAGACGTATAGAATTTGTGTTCACTAAAGAAATATATTGTTTACAAAAACTGTCAGCGTCACGTCACGTCTTGTCTCGTTCAACCGTCCGTTCAACCATCCGTTCAACCGTCTCGTTCAAATGCTCTTCCAATCTTTATATATGACTCCCTCGTCCAATCACAGCCCAGTTCCCCTTTACTCTAACCAATCACACACCACCACTCTCTCTTATTCAAACTATTACGCGCGAATGCCCACATGGCCAGCATGTGTGCAAGTGTCAAACTAACTCTATAGCCCATATCTGCTAGTACCCAACCTAACTAATTCTAATCTACATGCGAAATGGTCGATCCTAACCTATGCCTCTACATTTACCAATTCAATGCAACATATGTAAAACAGCTGTTACAACTACACAAGGTGCCAGTTACTGTAGCATTCGTTAAAATTGCATAATCAATGGTCGCCTTATGCCTTTAACGTTTAATAAACGTTGATAGTAACGTTACATGTCGGTGCTTATCAAACTTGTCATACATTATGTTAACCGGCGTTTTCAACATGTTATTCGCCGAATTTACTCACTGACACCACATTTGTGACTGAAAAAACTGCACGCAGTCGAATAGCGGGCCATACATTGAACGAGATTTCGCTTTTAAATTACCAGTTTCATCCAACCATCTCCGTATGTAGGCAGGGGCGGACTGGCCATCAGGAGCACCGGGGGTTTTCCCGGTGGCCTGCTAAGTGGCCTGCTCCCCAAAAAAGTTTTTAATAAATCTGCGGCCTGTAGGCCATATATATATATATATAGATATGTATATATATGTGTCCATATATATATATATTATAATATGTATATATATATATATACATATTTTTTTTTAATCTGCGGCCTGCAGGCCATTTCTATACGGCCTAGCTGCAGGCCATACTATTATAGGTGGGGCAGAGTGACATCACTCCTTCTTAGCAACCCGTCCGATGACCGATCTAGAGTGATGAAAACAGCTGCGGTACGTATTTGTTACGTACTATATAGGGCCTGTGGAACGGGGGCTAAGGGGGCTCGAGCACCCCCACTTTCTTGATGCCACATACAATTAAATGATAGAGAGAGTTACGTCCCTCGTTCTAATTAGTGCTAGATCTTTCGTGCTTTCCGCAAACCCACCCCATGCGTGTGCTTCGCGTGCACGGCAACAATTTGTTTACACATATAGCCAATTATTGCCAAGTATAATAGGCTGTCCAAAACGGCACCTGATGCATAGGTTAATTATGTAAATTGCAGTGGCAAAGCAGGTTACAACCCATTTGCAGCTTTATTCACAATTTCCAAAAGAATTTTTGCTATTTACCCTCATTCAGCGGTGGCGTCCCGCGGCGTGTACCATATTTTAATGAAGGGGCGACCTAAGCTAGGTGTCACGGTTCACTCTCAGGGGCGCTCCTACGTACAGTCAATTCAAGTCATTGAGGGTTCCGTCGCCTGCAAGCACAAGAATTGTGTCTACTAAAAGAGAAGGTGCTTCGTATCGAATGAAGAGGCATGGTACATGTACTCAAAAGGCCTCAAATTCCAATCTCCTGCGATCTACATTTACAAAATTTTTCTGGGGCGAGGACACCATACCGCGCTCTGTTCTCACCACCCCTCCTTGATATGCTGGAGCACCCATGTGCGAGCCATTAAACAAATTGAGCAGCCACCCCCCGTTCAAAATCATTCCCCGGTGGCTTGCTATACCTACTCCAAAATGTAGTTTGCGTACATGCAGTTGTGTAACAAGTGTTTTACATGATATGTTGCATTGAATTGGTAAATGTAGAGGCATAGGTCTAGGATCGACGAGAGTTCGCCATTGTAGATTAGATTAGTTAGGTTGGTACTAGCAGATATGCGGCTATAGAGTTGTTGACACTTGCCAACTTGCTGGCCATGTGGCATTTCGCGGGCGTAATAGTTTGAATAAGCAGAGAGAAGTGGTGGGGCATGTGCTGCGATTTGCGTTTAGAGTAAAGGTGGGAATGGGCTGTGATTGGACGAGGGAGTCAGATATAAAGATTGAGAGAGCATTTTGAACGGCGCGCCATTTTTGACGGATGGTTGACGCGCAGGGAGGACGGTGAACGGACAAGACGGTGAGCGTGACGCTGACAATTGTTTGTAAACAATGATATTGCCTTAATGCACAAATTTATACGTCTTCATTGATTATTTATACTGTTAATACTATAAATGACAAGCTAGTCCCTTACAGTTTGTTGCGGTTTCATTAGTTTGTGGATTCTAATGCACTAAAATTCGGTGCAAAATCCATTTACGGACCTTAGAGTATCACGAAGTGATGCCACAGATTTCTGTGGTATCATAACTGATGCACAAGAATTTTCCGATATGCAAGGAATGATGCAAAAACCCTAACTAGCCCTAACCCTAACCCTAACCACTTCGTGAATACCTATAGGAGTAAGGTTATACTTAATGACTTAGGGTTAAGGGTTAGGGTTATTTGCATCATTCCTTGATATACGGAAAGTCTGTGCATCAGTTTGATGGATACCAGAATCTGATGCATCACTTTTTTCGTGATACATAAGGTGTGCTAAAGTGGATATTGCGCCGGCCTAAATTCACCAGAATGCAAGAAAATGAGTCTTGGGATGTACAAAAATTTTCCTAGTGGGGAGTCCCGGGACCCCAGACCCACCCACAGTCCTTAAAAAATATTATTTTAGCTCCTGAAATTTCAATTCTCATCAGATATAGAATCCTATAGGAGAATTTTTAATAGTGGGTCTGCTTCTCTGTTCACGCTGGAAAAAAAATGTTTCCGGAAATTTCACATTTTCAAATATTAATGATGCGAGTGCGGGGCAGTTAATTTTCACTCGTTTTCTCGGAGGCTACTGCTGTGTCAGAAAGTCGAGTTAGGGTAGGTGTCGGATTTATTGTGTAGATTGCGCTAAAGTTGGAACTTGGAGAAGTTATTACGTGTGAGTGAGAATAAATATGGCGACATGTCTGTAGTGAAAGAGGCACGCACATTAGCAAATTGGAAAAGTTTGATTTGCAATTACAACTGCATTCTTGTTCGCACTCCAAATAGCTATAGACGCATGCAATTAGTGCTACATAGCCTTAGCTCTCAGTATAAAATTTTAGTGAATAATCGGACAATACTAAGCTCTAAGGCCGTATAGCCTTACCCTTGTTACCCCCGCCCCCCCCCCCACAACACACAAACACACAGGAACACACACCACAGGACAGACAGTCGGAATGTCCCTCCTGCTTTCCCGTTAAGAGTCTCTGATCGTCCGCAGGCTATAGTCTAAGGTGCGAATAGGTCCGTGCGTATGAGCTAAATTCTGTCTGCTAGAGGGGTGACTCTTGTATGAATCATTGTATAGGCTTTTCTTTCTTAATTCGCTCAGGTTGAATCGTCAATCATTGATATTTTAGGGACGGCGGAGGTTGCCATGATCGTCCATGATTTCCAGTCGTGGTGCTATCTAAGCCCACTCACAGGAGGCCTATAGAAATCAGAAGATATCGGAACGCGACGTTAATTACCGGCATAAAGAGACAGCTGCGAATTCTAACGAACGATGCTTGGCGGGATAACATTCTCATACAACCCTTCCGTGTTCTGCACAATAATTAGATTAGGCATTAGTTTATATAGCGTGGAAAGTGGCTTTCGTGGCTACACTGAAACACTCTGTGGACAGGATAGTTTGCTCAGTCTGCGGTCTGTTTGCACCCATTCAAAGCATCAGCCTAGAAGGAATTTTGGCATGAGTTAAAGCTTTGAAATAAACTGTCCCAGATGTATTTTTTATAGAAACAAGTCTTAGTATAAAAAACGGTCATGATGACTCGATCGCTTCGCCAATAGTGTCTATCCAAAGGGCAAAAGTGGAACAATTGAAAGCGATGATTTTTTGGATTGGTGGTGAACCAACTTCGGATTCGACCTACTCTCTGAACTGACTGTCGCCTTTGCACAAATTCTATTCCAACAATGAAGGCGGTAAATGGCTATTCTTGAGATATGCATCAAAATGCCTTCAACCATAATTGTTGGATGCCTGATGAAATAGAAGATCTATCCAATAGCCACTATTGATATGATAGCGCCACCTGGTGTACAATTCCCACGGCGCTTGAATCGAGCTAAAAAAAAAATAACCGCATTGCTTCGGGGAGTGCTAATTTTGCTTCGGAGCATAGCAGACAAAAGAACAT